CCCCAAAACCCCAAAACCCCAAAACCCCAAAACCCCTTAAACTAATAAAATCTAAAATTTTTAGAATAAATTAAATGTATTCTCGATATTTTAAAGAATAGCTTTTATAAATTAATGTACTTTGTATGTGAAATCAAAGAGAATTGTCCTTCAATATTTTGTTCAACTAGTCAGCACTAATAGGCTTGGTTAAAAATGCATCCATCCCAAAATCTAAGCATTTCTATTAGAAACTGTCTGTGGAATATGCTGTTAATGCTGCTATGTAACTTTTTTTAGGTTTGTCTATCGTCGCTTCAATTTTACGAATTTCTTAAGTAGCTTGGAATCCGTCCATTATTGGCATATTGCAATCCATCAATATCAACTTATAGATAGATTTATGGCACTAATTGTTATCACATATAGATTTAATTTTAAATCTATCCTACACTTTTTGAACTGCTTCCATCCCATTCCTTGCTTAATCAACTTCTAATTTAAACTATAGACTAAGGATGGCTTCAAGGGTTACCAAGTTAAAGATGTTATCATCAACTATTAAAATGCTATTTAATTGAGGACAAGAGCATTTCTTCTTTAAATCAGTGTTCAAAAGCATTGGCTCACTTTAAATAGGTGTCTATCGATATGCTTGCTATTGAGATAAATTCATTTGCTAAGTGCAATTAAGACTATCTGTAGAGCAATTACTCACTTAAAACTTAGGCTGAAAGGAATTCCCATATTCTATCTTATATCTTTGACTTAAATTTTTTCTATTTCTGTTAGATTCAAAGTTTACTTCAAAATCAATTTCGCTTAGTTTTATTTCTTGTTCTTATTCTTAATGCTATGATTTCAAAGTCAAGTTAAATTTGCAACCTGGACTGTGATTGCCATCTAGTTCAATTGTTCCTTGAAACATTTCAACTATCTATCTGCAAATATTAAGCCCTATGCCTATGCCATTAGTGTTAATCTGTTGTGTTGCCTCTAGCTTTCCGAATAAGGTGAATAATTTTCCTCTATCCTCAGGTTATATGCCTATTCCAGAATCTGAGACACTTAATTTTATAGTACTTAGTAGATAATCGTAACTTACTTCAAGTTTGATAAATCCTTAGAAAGTAAATTTAAGTGAATTCTAAAGTAGATTTAAAATGACCTATTTGATTCTCTAAGCATCTATATACAAAGTCTTAGGGAAATTAGGGGAGAATGAGTATATTGAATGAATTCCCTTTTCATCTGCACCAACTTTAAATATGTCCATCAATTCTTTGATAGAGGATTTAAAGTCAACCCACATTAAATTTTTCTTGAATTTTCCATGTTTAATTTGAAAAAAATCTAGAAGATCGTTTACTAGGAAGCTCATAAACTTTGAAGAATTCTTTATGATGCCCAAAAATCTTCTTCCAACATCATTTGTGATATATGAATCTAAATTGTTCAGCAGTCCATTTATAACATTAAGAGGAGTCCTCATATCATGTGAAACTGTGGCAGTTAGCATTTCGTAAAAATGATTTTCTAATTTTAGCTTTTCATACTTCATTAGTGGAGTTAGATTCTTTATCATTATTATACTGTGAGATGTATTTTGGAAAAACAATTAACACTAGGATAAGCTTATTATTTAGGCAGTAGTATTTTCACTTTGGCTTTAATGTTCCTCTGTTTCAGTATTTTAAATTTGATAGCACTTATCATCTTAATTTTCATTTAGTGCCTCTAAAACTGAATAAAAATCTAATTCCTATTAATTTTGAGTATCTTGGATGTTCGACTAAGATTGAAAGATTTTAAGCATTCTCTCATTTAACTAGCTATAAGATATTCCTTCTGTATTTTCATTATCCTTAATGTTAAAGAGTCTTCTATATTCTTAGTTAACCAAAGAGATATTCTGATTTTAGGGATCGTATAAAAGTATCCCTTCTGGTAATTAGTCAAATAAGTATTTCATATCCTCGTTCATAGTCTATATTTAATGGAGCTAAATAAAACATAACTTAAGCCTCATCTCATGGAAGTAACAGATATAATTGATTAATATTGTGCAAGAAATCATACATGCATACGAGAAAAAGTCGATTCTTGAGTATAGAGCTGAATGATAAGCGATGGCCAGAACAGTTACTATTGAATTCCCTAACCCTGTAATTATCCAACTATTACTCAGAACAAGTCCTTGAATAATATATAGTAACAAGCTGCAAATATTTCCAAGAATTTCTTCATTTGACGAATCTCTAGTGATAAGTAACAACTGAGTGGTGAATAAAGGCACTATAATAGAGCTTTAAAATTTGCTAAATTTTGAAGGCCATTTCCACATCAGGAACAAAGAAAATGTCTTAATACTAAGTTATAAAATCCTCATAGCCAAAAAGAAATTAGTTGGTCTTTAAAGACTTGATGCCATCGCTATAATAGTAGATGTAGAAAAGAGTAATCAAAGGATAAAGACAACCTTGCACATGAAGAAAATGTCCTTACTTCTATCAATATCATATTGTTCTCTTATTTTTGGGTCTTTAATTTGTAATGTTATTCTTGATTCCATTTCTCTTTAAATATATAATTATTCTGATATCTAGAGGATTTTTTTTTATTACTATATATACTATATTTAATATAATTACAATTCCAACATTATAAGTATCATTGTGAATTAAAACATGTATTTATCATTAGTTATTTGCTTCATTCAAGAGTTTACATGCGATAACTGGGGTTTTGGGGTTTTGGGG